TGATAGTTGTGAAGGGGAGGTGGACCTCATGTGGTCCAGAGGTATCAGGGAAGGTGTCCAGGCTGAGACGTGAGTCAGAGCCCACCTGGTGAAGAGAGGGAAGAGCGGACCAGGCACACAGGCACATGCAAAGGCCCTGGGGCAGACTTGGATGTTTGGAGCCCAGAAGAATCTAGTATAGTGAAGTAGAGAGAGCCAGAGAGAGAGGGGACACGTGTGAGATTGGCTGACATTATGTGGTCACACACGCTGGGCACTGTACTTGTCTTACCCAATCCTCACAGCAACCCTGTGAGGTATTCTATAATGGTTTCCATATTAGAGGTGAGAAATTGACTTTCAAAGATGTTAAAATATAACATGGGTTGATGCTAGGCGTTGCCCTGGGCTGTTGACTCACCCTTGTTGCTGTGAACCCTCCTGATGAAAGGGCTCAGAGCACCACTTCCTGCCTGACTGCGTGGACCCTCCTGGTCAAAGCTTGGCCTTCTGGGCTTTCTCTTAGGGCACAGCACGTGAGGGTGGAGTGCACAAGCTTGTGTATGCACACACCACTGACTTCCAGACAGAGTGAAAGGTCCTGCGCTGGAGAATACGTGGAAAAGCCACAGGACTTGGCACCAGACTCTGGATGAGTCTGTGTAGAGAAGCTGTGGGGCCTGGGAATAAGTGTGTCCTGTTCTTCTGTGGTAAGAGGAGCAAGTTTGTTTGAGAACTTAGAGGAAAGGTTCATGGGCTGAAGAACTTAGCCTGAGGGCTAATGTGGAGGCCTGGGCTGAACTGGGGCTGCTGTTTCCTGTGGGTCATGCAGCCCCTCAAGACATTTATATATTTTCTCTAAGAATCCTTTCCTGAGAGGCTGAGAAAACTGCTTTGATGTTCAGAGCTTAGAGGGTTGGTGGGGAGGTCTCCTAATCCTAATGTCTGGAGAGGAGTGACTGAAGGATGTCCTTGAGGCTTTGACACCCGGCTGGGAGCTTGCCTGTCTGAGATGGCTTACTGAGAGGTCAGGGACATGCATGATCCTCTAGCCCTCTGTCCACCTCTGTGGGTGAAGTTTCGTCTCTCTTCCTCTCCTCATCCATTTAACCTAAATACCTTTCCTGCCCAATCATTTGGGAGGCAGGAGGTTGGGGGATAGGGAATCAAGGGCAGGAGATTGAAGAAGGAAAAGTTGCAACATTGTTGATCACATCCGGAGGGACAGTGAGGAAGAAACTGAAAATCTGTGCGTCTCTCTTCTAGGAAACTGTGATTGGCACGTGAGCACTGATAAAATGGAATTTAATGACAGTAAAACAAACAGACTTGAAGTTTCTGAGAAGTCTGGTTCTGTGGAGTTATGGGGGCAGATAGGGGCAGACGGCTTCTAGGAGGAAGACAGGTGGTGGTGCTGGGAGGGGAGTCTCCCCATGAGTGAGACAGAATGCCAGTCCCTTTAGAGACTCTCCAGCATCAGCCCTTTGATCCTTTGATGTTGAGCTTCTGGCTTGAGAGCCCAGGAGTGTAGAGATGAGATTTAGTTGATATTAGAGAACTGGGCTATGAGGTAGAGGGTAACCAGCAGAGCAGCTGGCCCAAGAAGGTACATCCCTGGAGCTTTGGGGTTGAAGGGTGGAGACCAGAGGCAGGAAGGCCAGGGAGAGTCTCGTCAGGATTGGCAGTTGTCTGGGAACTGGAGGGTGTGTAGATCCTTTCAAGTAATGGGGTCTGAGAGACTAAGGGACTTGTCTTGGTGGGACTGTGCCTTTTCTGGATGGATGTGTGTCGCCTGCCCCCTTTCCCAGGGTCTGGCAGACAGCAGGTGTGTGATGCAGGGCATTGAGTCGTGGAGAGGGAAGGACAAAGGGATTGCCTCAGCACCTCTTACTGATGTGCGCAGCTGCAGCCATATTGGGTGAAGCTAGTCAGAGCTGTGGGCCATGTACCTAAATTTGATTTTAAGAAACTATTTGGAATTAACTGCAAACTTACAGAAAAGTTTCAAGAATAAGAATGGTACAGGACACTCAGTCCCTTTACTCAGATTCACCTATTAACATTTTGCTCCCTTTGCTGTCTCTTTTTATGTGTATAATATGTAATATACAGTCTTTTTGTTCTCAGTCACGTCATCTATCACGGCCCTCTATGTCTAATGCTTAAAAGTGCGTATTACCTAAAAATTGGGATATTCTTTTACATTACCACAGTACAGCTGTCATCAACACTGGTAATTTAATCTATCTTCTATATTCCAGTTTTGTCATTTGTCCCAATAATGTATTTAAAAAAAAGTTTTATTGAGGTTTAATTACATAGAGTAAATTGCACATATTTAAAATATACAATTTGATAAGTTTGGACATATTTATACACCCATGAAACTATCACTCCAGTCAAGATAATAAACATCCACCTCCCCTTCGGGTTTCCTAGTGTCCCTTTGTAATTCCTCTCCTGCTGTCCTCAGTGCTCCCAACCCAGGCAACCACTGATCTGCCTTCTGCCACTATAGGTTAACTTCGTATTTTCTGGAGATTCATATAAGTGGAATCATAGTGTATGTGGTCTTTTTTGGGTCTTTCAGACTTGCATAATTATTTTGAGATTCATCTATGTGTTGTATGTATAAGTAAGTTTTCGTCTTTATTCCTGAGTATTATTATTACATTGTACAGGTAAACAGCAATTTGTGTATCCATATCTCCCTGTTGATATGCCTTTTGTTTGTTTCCAGTTTTTGGCAGTTATGAATAAAGCTGCTATAAACATTCAGTGCAGGTTTTCGTATCTTTTCATTTCTCTTGGGTATATATCTAGGAGTAGACTTGCTGGGATATATGGTAACTGTTCAGTATTTTAACTGAACTGTCGAAGTTCTATAAAAGGCCTTTTGTTCCATACCTCACACCATATACAAAAATTAACTCAAAATGAATCAACCTAAATGTAAGGCCTAAAACTATAAAATCTAAAAATGAAAACATAGGGGAAGATCTCTGTGACTTCAGCAAAGATTTCTTAGATACAGTGCCAAAAGCATGATCCATAAAATGAAAAATCCTGAAAACAAACATCAAAAACTTTTCTTTAGCTGACACTGTTACAAGAATAGAAATGGTTGAATTTTTGCCAATCTGATGGCTGAGAAATGTTATCTTAGTCTAGTTTTAATTTTAATTTTTCTTATAAGTGGAATTGAACATCTTTTTATATGTGTAAAGACCATTTTCATATCTTTTTTGTGAGTTGCCCTTGTCTTTTAGACAAGGAGTTTTGGCCTTTTCTCCCCTCAGTTTTTAAAAAATTCTTTGTCTATCAGGGTATTGGCTTTTTATTTGTACTGTATGTTGCAAAAATTCTTCCCTGGTTTGTTGTCTTTTGACTCAGCTTATGGTGTTTTTAGCCACGCAAATGTGTTTTATTATTGCATCTGGATTTTGAGTCATAATTTAGAAAGCCTTTCCTTGTACCCAGGTGAAGGAAGAATTAACCCATGTTTTCTTCTAGCACTGAAAGTTTTATTTTTATATCTTGATCTCTAATCCACTTGGAAATTATTCTTGTGTATGGATCTAAAATAAAATTTTATTTTTCCAAACAGCTATATAGGTGTTATAACACAATAAGACCATTTTTGCCCCAGTAGTTCTAAATATCACCTTTACTGGACATGAAATTTCTAAGTGTATTTGGGTCTGTTTCTGGAATTAATTCTTCTTTGGGTGATCTGTTTGTTTACAAACTAGCACCACACAGTGTTAATTATAGAGGCCTTGTGGTAGGTAGCATTTTAATACCTGGTAAAGCCAGTCACTTTTCACAGCTTGTTTTCACTATTTTCCTATATACTCTTGTATGTTTATCCTTCGCAAGAACATGGGATATTTAAGTTGTCTTTTATGTTTTTTAGGAATTACAGGTTCATGTAGGTTTTACGTATTTCATGTTGTTTTTCCTAAATATTCATTTTTATAGCTACTGTAAGTAATGTTTTGTCATCCATGATTTATTCTATTGAGTTGTTATTTGTCAGTATGAAGCCTATTGATTTTTTAATTTTGGTATAATTAATATAAATCACATGAGCAACATTGTGGTTACTAGATTCCCCCCATTATCAAGTCCCCACCACATACCCCATTATAGTTACTGTCCATCAGTGTAGTAAGATGCTATAGGGTCACTACTTGTCTTCTCTGTGCTATACTGCCTTCCCTGTTATGGTATGTGTGCTAATTGTAATGAAGCCTATTGATTTTTACATGTTAATTTTTATATGCTGCTACCTTGCTCAGTACTTTATTTGGGTTTGTTTTATCATTAATTCTCTTACAGTTTTCCAGACATGTTCTCACAGAGTCAGCTAATAGAGACATTTTTGCTTCTATTCCACTTCTGCCTTTAATTGTGTTCTGTAGTCCAATTGCATGGGCCCATCCCTCCAACAGAATGTTAAATAGTCATGCAGTTTATGGGTGGCTTGGCTTTGCCCTGATCTTCAAGGGAATGCCTCTGTACTTACCTGTTAGTTAAGGTGCTGGCTCTAGCTCTGAGGTGTAATATTTGAGTTTTTAAATCTGCAATTTTGGGGCCGTTTGATTTGAGCAATGGGAGGTAGTTGGTCTCAGCTCCACTCTTCCCCTAAGCTCTGGATGGAAGATGGGAATGAAATCTGAGGTAAGAAAGGGAGTAGGGGTTGCTTTGCTCCCTGCCGTCCACCAACATCACTGTCTACTTACCCCTCAAATATACTGATTTTCTGAGGACTAATGAGCTCATTTTGGAGCGGGGGAGCATGTTACCCCAATCCTGTTCTCCCATGCAGATTGACCTTCCAGGTTAGCGTACTGCACAGCGCTTTTCTGTGAGGGCCCTGGAGTCAACATGGTTCTGGCCTCCCACCTACCTCACATTTTGGCCTGTTCCTGGGACCGCAGCTCCACCCTCCTCCCAACTGTTCCACCGCAGGGCAATGCCTTTGTGATGAGGGTTGGTTTTCTCTCTCCTCTCCCCAGGTGCATGGCTGCTTCCTAACCCGAAGCCCAGAGGAGGCCTTTGCGCAGTGGGGAGTGAGCCAGGCAAGCGAGGGCAGCCTCGGCCCCACCCCTAACCGCCTCCCCCGCGGGGGCCAGGATGCTGAAGAAGCAGTCTGCAGGGCTTGTGCTGTGGGGCGCCATCCTCTTCGTGGCCTGGAACGCCCTGCTGCTGCTCTTCTTCTGGACGCGCCCGGCGCCCAGCAGGCTGCCTTCCGACGGCGCTCTCTCTGACGACCCGGCCGGGCTCACCCGCGAGGTGATCCGCCTGGCCCAGGACGCCGAGGTGGAGCTGGAGCGGCAGCGGGGGCTGTTGCAGCAGATCAGAGAGCACCATGCACGCTGGAGTCAGCGGCGGCGGGTGCCCTCTGCGGCCACACCCGTCCCACCGCGCGTGTCCGCGCCCTCGCCGCCCGCGGTGATCCCCATCCTGGTCATCGCCTGCGACCGCAGCACCGTGCGGCGCTGCCTGGACAAGCTGCTGCATTACCGGCCCTCGGCCGAGCTCTTCCCCATCATCGTAAGCCAGGACTGTGGGCACGAGGAGACGGCGCAGGTCATCGCCTCCTACGGCAGCGCCATTACTCACATCCGGCAGCCGGACCTGAGCGCCATCACCGTGCAGCCCGATCACCGGAAGTTCCAGGGCTACTACAAGATCGCGCGCCACTACCGCTGGGCGCTGGGCCAGGTCTTCCACAAGTTCAGGTTCCCCGCCGCAGTGGTGGTGGAGGACGATCTGGAGGTGGCGCCCGACTTCTTCGAGTACTTTCAGGCCACCTACCCGCTGCTGCGCGCCGACCCGTCCCTCTGGTGCGTGTCGGCCTGGCACGACAACGGCAAGGAGCAGATGGTGGACGCGAGCAAGCCCGAGCTGCTCTACCGCACGGACTTCTTCCCGGGCCTCGGCTGGCTGCTGCTGGCCGAGCTCTGGGCTGAACTGGAGCCCAAGTGGCCCAAGGCTTTCTGGGACGACTGGATGCGGCGGCCGGAGCAGCGGCAGGGCCGCGCCTGCGTGCGCCCCGAGGTCTCCCGAACCATGACCTTTGGCCGCAAGGGCGTGAGCCACGGCCAGTTCTTCGACCAACACCTCAAGTTCATCAAGCTGAACCAGCACTTCGTGCCCTTCACGCAGCTAGACCTGTCGTACCTGCGGCGGGAGGCCTACGACCGGGATTTCCTGGCCCGCGTCTACACCGCCCCTCTGCTGCAGGTGGAAAAAGTGAGGACCAGTGAGCGGAACGAGCTAGGGGAGGTGCGGGTGCAGTACACGGGCAGGGACAGCTTCAAGGCCTTCGCCAAGGCGCTGGGTGTCATGGACGACCTTAAGTCCGGAGTCCCCAGGGCCGGCTACCGCGGCATCGTCAGCTTCCTGTTCCGTGGCCGCCGCGTGCACCTGGCCCCGCCGCAGACCTGGGACGGCTACGATCCCAGCTGGAATTAGCCGCGTCGCCTGTGCCTGCTGGCCGCGTTCTGCCGTGTGTCGGACCGAGACCGGACGCAGCCCCTGGGCTGCATCCTCCTCCGTGTTTCTCTCCTGAGTCCATTTAACTTTTTCTTCTCTTTTCTTTTCTTTTTTTGGAGTGGCATTCTAGTGCACAGATGATCAAGTGAGGGTTATTCTCCCGTTTTCAAGGGAGTCAAATCAGGGGAACCTTACAGGGGTATATTGGGGGGAATTAAGCAGGAAACCACTGTGTGGTAGGGAGAGACTTGGGCTTGTTGGGGCCACAAACCTGCATGTTCCAGGCTGACTCCCGGGGTGTCTGCAGAAAGGTTGGCAACTTCAGCTCTCTTGACCAGGCCTCTCCCTATCTCGGTTCTTCCAGCCAGGGCATGAGCCCCCTGCTTGTGCGTGCCGCGCATCCCCACATTCCCCCACTTGGAGGTGGGGCAGGGTTCTGTGAGAAGAGAAGGTATCTGGCCAAAATGAGACTAACCAGAGGGGTTTCACTATCAGGGTCTGGCAGGGGACCTTGGGTCCTCAGGGCTGCTGCCTCCTGCCGTGTTTTTCTTCCTCCCTCTCCTTAACCCTAACCTCGCACCTCTTACCCAGCAGCCTAGCCTTTGTGATTCTAAGATGACTAGCTGAAGGGGAAGAGCAGCTTATCCCTGGCAGTGGGGGGAGGCCTTGGTGTGCTGGGGCACACCTCCTTCATCCTGCCTCAAAGAAACAGGCTCTGTCCCCTTTTCCCATCCTTTTAAAATATGGATCCTTTCTCTGTTGCTCTAGGAGGGTTTCATGCTGGTGTGGGGAAGGGAGCTTAGATCCTTGAGCCTCTTTTCCCCTCGGGTTTTGTGCACAGGCTCCTCCCCGAGGGGTGTGGCTTCAGGCGGCACTCTCAGGGCGAGGCAGAGCAGCAGACAGGGTGGCCCTGGCCCCCCTTCTCTCCCCTAAGCATTACCAGGTTCCCTCAGATGAGGATGCGGATGGTGGCCGTTGGAGAGCAATGTGTGTGTGTGGGTGTTTTTGGCCTGACCTCAGTTCATGCAAGAAAGTTGAAGCTACAAAATTATTTTCAAAAATAAAGGCTGAATTGTCTGAAAAACACTGTATATGTATGTGTTCTGGAAAAGGAGGTGGAGGCTTGAAGAAGGGGCTGGACAGCGAGAGAAGAGGATCCCTTGAAGGAAGGGAAGCAGATGACCAGGAGATGGGTCAGGGAAGAGGCACAGGAGAGCTGAGGAGGGCCCAGGGTGCAAGAAAGGCCAGGCGTGGGGATGGAGAGGGTCCAAGGCCATACTCCCCACAGCCGATCTCCAGAGGTGGGTTATGCAGCCTCCCGTGGGCTTGGCCTTGCCCCCGAGCCTGAAGGCCTGGTCGGAGAACAGGGCGGGCGGGCCTTGCCTCGTGGGCGCAGTGTGTGCGGGGCGCCCTCTCCTGGCATATGCGGCGCTTTCCGGGTATCCTCCAGGACCTGCCACTGAGCTCCGGGATAGCCAGGTAAGCCCCGGGAGTGGCACGGAGAGCCTTGACCCCGACCCTAGAGAGAATGCATTTTACCCCTGCCACCCAAAGCACACAACTGGCAACCGTTTCCTGGAACCATTTACCCACCGCATGTAACATTCTGAGAGTTTCTGTTCAGTTTTTTTTCTCTTTAATGCTGCTTGTGACCCACCAACATGATTTCATTAGTGAGGTGGCTTGTTGACAGCAACCATTCCAAAGCTAAACCAGATGTGTGGGGGGGACGTGGGGTCACCTGGGCACCGAGGGAGCAGCTCCTGCCTACCTTCTGGGCTCAGGAATGCTGTGTACAAAGGGAACCAGTGTCAGATATTAATTTTAACCTTTTAGATTTTTGTAGAGCACATCTTCCCACATGCTCTTAGATGGATTGTTTATTTGGGGCTGGGGAGATGGTCATTAACCCTGATTTGCACATAGGGAAATAGGCCCACTGACACTGGGTCCCCCCTAACACAGCTGAGCCAGGAGACTGTGTTCTCAGACTCCCTCTTAGCATTAAATTTATTTGACAATTGCTTACTAAATGCATGGTTCTGAATGCTCCACCATTAACGTTAACTCATTTGAGTACTCATGGGTGGTAAGTACAGCTCTGGTTTTACAGGCAAGAAAACAGGAACATAGAGGTTCCCTTACCCAAGGTCACACACCCAGGTAGGGGGAGTCTGGGTTTGAATGGGAGCCCATGGTGTTAATCACTACCTAATAGTTGGACAGTTCCCTTTCTGCCTTCCTCTAAGGTTACCTCCTCAGCCTGCTTGGTACTCTGGTCTCTTCTCCCTCAAGCCCCAGGGTGGTGGGTGGGTCTGGATGCAGTCTGCGCAGGGTGGTAGGGGCAGCCCTCCTCAAGAGATCACAAAGGAAGAGCCTCTCTCTCAAGATACAGGCTGTCTTCTTAGGTTTCTCCTGAAGGGACAGGCACTTTCTGGGGTCTCTGTGTCCTGTTTGGCTTCCTTTTGATGTGACTCCCCAGAAAGACATCCTCCGGTGTGGTTCATGTGTGCATGGCTACCGCCCTTAAGAGCTGTCATCCTGCAGATAACCAAGCAAGCAGAAATACCATGGAAAAGCATGCGGTCATTAAATACTGCAGAACTTGAGTTCAGAGATTTAAAGATAATTCTAAAAGCTCACCCAGCTCATTACAGCTACCATGCCAGGTGGGCCCTCACTGAAACAGCTGGGGACTGGCACAGCCCAGGCAGGTTGTAAGTCCCCAAGGATGGAGGGTCGGTCTGTATGGCGCCTGGGGTTACAGCTGTTTACGGAAGCCTCTCTGGAACAGGGTGTGCTGGTGGGCCCAGCCATGGCTTCCGCCCGTGCACCACTCCTCCACCTTGGCCCCAACACTTCCGCCCCTGCCTGAGATTCACAGCCCTTCCTCCACTTCCTGATATCCTCTCACTTCTGGTTCTCCAGAATCGCTGATTCTGCCTTCCTACCACAGTCCCCCCAGTACAAGTCTTTTGGCCTTTGCCCTAAATAACAAAACCTCAGCTGAGTACATTTTAAAGATTTAATTGGCTTTATTAAATGATTCATGCATGAGCCCATCCATCCCAGCCCATTTAGCAAGTAGAAAGGAGTTCCAAGGGTTACAGAAAGGGAAAGGTTTTTAAAGGCAGGGCAGGGGAGTCATAAACAAAAATGATTATTTTGGGCAAGGTCACCTCCCTTTGAGGAACAAAAGGGTCTTATTAGATGGATTACTTCACCAGTACTGACCAGGAAATTCCAGACTGACTGGTTAAGATTACATTCCTGGTGGGGGTTTGAAATTGCAACTAGGTTTGGTATCAAGCCCCCTCTTTGGTTATGTGGGCTTAGCACAAGTGACTCCATTTTGAGCCTGTTGTTTCTTCATAACACCCTCCTCTGTTTTCTGGATCATTCTGGTAGAATCTCATTTGTGAGGTGAGTCACCCCCAGTGTGGACAAATGTGTCAGGTGGCATCTCTGGCCAGGACTGAGAGGTTAGAGGCTGGGGACCTAGGGGCCTGGCAGTGGGCCAGGAGCCGAGGGATCAGTATTTAGTGTTAGATACAATGCCCTTTTAAAGTGAAAGGTGTCATTATTTCTGTTTCTCATTACAAAATCAATACATGTTCATTTTAGGAAGTCAGAAGGCAGATAATATAATAAAAACATTCACATTTCCATATTCCACCTCACCCCTATTTCTACCCATCGAGTTTCTTTTTCACATAGATAGATAGATAAAACATTTATCAGATAAAACCCATAAAGTTACACATGTTTATTTAGCTTTATATGTTAAACATTTATATATGTCCTATATATTGTTTTATCACCATGTCAATTATTCACCTTCACCATAATTTTAGTCGTTTACCCTTTTTCTTAAGTGTCTTAGACAAACATGGGATTTCAGGCTTCCTGACAGGATTTCCTTAGAAGTCAGTCAGTTTGCCTCCCACCAACATAAAAACATTTTCCTCCTTAAATATTTTCGGGAGTATATGCCTCACATCTACTTTGGACCCTCTGCCTACTGATTCCAAGATTGGACCTTTGAACCTCCATCTGTTCTTGTCTAACCTGGACAGTCAGGAGCACTTACATGTGCAACAGACAGCAGGGCCTTTGCTGGGGGGGAGGGGAGGTGGTGCACATCTGTCCTGATGCTGAGACCAGGCCTGGTCGCTGAGGTCCTACTGTGAGCTGGTCTGGCTCCTGATCAGCTATTGCCCTGCCAGTGGCAGAGACAACAGTGCTACCCTCGGGTGAGTGTGAGGCTAATATTAACCAGTAAGGGTAAAAGCAGCAGTCCGAGTCCTGGAGGACTGTCTGTCTTCCGTGCTCTCCCTTCCTGGTTTCGCCCTTGATTCTCCCCACCCCCGTGTTCCCCTCTGCACGTATCTGGACCTCACAGGGCAGGTGCAGCCCAGACTTAGGGAGAAGGAGTGGACAGTACTGAGCTCTGGTACCCTTCCCCCACAGCCTACCCAGGCTAATTGAAATCTGGCTCTTTATCCTGAAATGATAAGACTGTCTGATTAGATTCAGCTGTGAACAGAAAACCCAAATCACTGTGCCTCTCATGAGAGCTGGATGGTGTAGGGCTGGCATGGTGGTGCCCGTATCTTTCTCTCACCCTCCTTATCAGGAGACTTACATCCTAGATGTCACTCCTTGGCTGGGCGGCCGTCTCACTCACACAGGAAGAAAGGACAGGAAGAAGAAGGGCAAAGGGTAGATGTTGGCTGCTGGTGCTCCTTTCTTGGAAGCTCACAAATAGTGTGTAACAGCTCCTGGCCAGACCCGGATTGCACAGATACACTGTTCTGCAGAGAGACGGGAAAAAGAAGCTGTTCATTGTAATCAAATGAACAATCCCTCTTACTAAGGAAGAAAGCAGCAATTGCGTAGGAAGCCCTGGGGACCTCCACCACCCCCAGGGTCTGGAAGACCCAGGAACACTTGAGAAGCGGCAGGGAGGAGGAGAGGGTAGGATGATGGGGAGGTTCCGAGCCTTGATGTGGAGAGGGCAGCTTTTGAGCCTCCTGCAGGCCTAACGCCAGTGGACTGCGTGAGAAGCATGTCCCACCGTGCTCAAGGGGGCTTTCCCAGGGTCATACATGATGACTGAAATTCTTAAAAGGTCACATAGCCCCAGAAATCCTGATTGACAAGGGAGCAGATTATTTTTCCTTTTTGAATATTTTCAGGAGTGTACACCTCACATCCTTCCTGGACCCTGCCTGCTGGTTCCATTGCTATGGGGGACCCTGCAGGAAATGTCATGGGACCTGGTACCCTTCTGATTGATCCCCACCCAGTGTGATTATTCCTTTTGCTCTTTCTAAGGGAAGAAGAGGGATTTACATTCTCACGACCACTGCCTAAACCAGGAGATGTGCTGCATACCTGTGTTCAAGGCAGAGGACCTTTATCTGACAGAGCATCAGTCTGGCAGCTGGACCATAGAGGCCCAAAGTGATGATGGCCTAAACAAGATGGTTTATTTCTCGTTCGCTCTTAAGTCCGGGTTGGGTGGCGGTTCAGAGCTGCTGCTGAAGGTCCACGTGCACCAGGAACTCAGTCCAGCATCCTGCCTTCCTACAGCTTTAACACATGGCTCCCAGCTCCTGCTGAAGATGGTGCCTTGACTCTGAAAGGAGGAAGAGGGAAGGAGAGGGCACGCCCTTTGTTTTTTGAATGAAACGCAGAATTTGCACATATCACCTTCCACCACCTCCCACTCACCACGACTTGGTGGTGCTCCCCTAGTCAGGGGAGACTGGGAGATGGGGTGGTAGCCGCAACTGCAGCTAAAACTTAGTAACAGGTAAGAGGAGGAGGAGGAACCACTTCGGGAGGAGGCGGTTCCCTGCCCAGGGCAAGCTCCCTATGAATTCCGGGAGACTGAAGGAAGGCAAGAGCAGTAAGTTGGAGATGAAAGAGTTTATTCTCAAGGTACATCTCCTCGTTCTGAACCTGTCGTGCTCTCTGGCACCACTCGGGACCCCCTCACTCACGGCTCCCGAGCTCCCAGCTCCCCAGCTTGCTCACTCTCTCTGGCCACACTCCCCACTCAGAACCCAGGCTGTTGGC